TTTTATACTGTAATTGTAAAATCGAGCAAACCGTCATTCGATCAGCTTATAAACCTCAAGTTCATAATCGATTCGACAGTAAACAGAGGCGACTCGCGCGATGGACTGTAAAATTTTCGCTTTGCTTACCATCACTTTTAATAACTCCTGTGCACCCTGTGTATCGGTTTTCGTGCAGTTTACACTGGGAGGGGGTATATAAACTGGAGCGTTTAGGTCCAGAATAGGTCATTATTCAAGCCAAATTGATCGTTATATACACAACGTATTTATGAGTGATGTAAAATTTGCAGTTTTTGGTCACTTACGAATGTTCAGCAAGAAGCCCAAAATATTTACCGAACGGTATCAGTTAAGGGCTGCACCTCCATATGGAAAGGATACGAAGAATAAACTGACTAAGAAAAAAGGGAGATGAAGCATTTGATGACAATTCTATTCTTGGCCCCTTCGCTGTCTCTTTGAGGCAGGTACCTTTAGGGTCTAATAAAGTCTGAGCCACGCCCACAAAAACAGTATGTCAAGCATCCTCGCCCCTTTCACAAGGGAACTTCCCCCCTCCTGAGGGTACAATAGATTTGCTATTGAAAACACGTACAGACGCGAGAGCAAGTCAACACCTTTCATCGGTGATGGTCTAAGAGTTCGAGTTAGGCGGACGGTTAAAAAAAACACAGGGGAAGGGGCCTGGGTAGCGTGTCAAGGTAAATAAACAAAACTGAACGCAAGGCTGGCACCACGGCAAAAGGCTGATTTATTTTAGGAAGGCTATTTTTTTTAGCCGAAATATTAGCCTATAATAAATCAGCCCTTTGCCGTAGTGCCAGGCCTGCATTCAGTTTTGTTTAGCCTGAGTATCAGGCCTTCCTATGGGGGAGGGGGGAGGGGGAGAAGAGAAAGGTTTCTCTCCTTCACCTCTCTCCAGTTTTCGCTTCCATCTTTCCCCTTTTCCCCAGAAACGCCTGATACTCAGGCTAGTTTTGTTTGACTTTACACTTTAAGTGACGTCTGGCTACAGCATCTCTTTAATCAGATATCCAGCAAGAGAAACCATTCAGTTATATTGAGAGTTGGGTGGACAGTTTTTCCTTGTGACAAGGCAGTCTGCTGGTGGGCAAAAATGTGACTTTTTCGCAGAATCAGCATGAAAAAAGGCAACCACCTTGACATCAGCTGAAAAGCAGCAAGTGACTATAATGCATCGTCTGATTCAGACATATTAAATTCTGCAAGCAGAATACTGCAATGCTGATCGTACTACGTGAAAATTAACTCTGCAAGACATCAACACGACACCGGGAAAGAACTCAAAACAGAGCGGGGTGTATGAAATCTTTTTAATAATTCTATCTTTAAAAAAAAACAAACAAACAAAACAATGTTACAATAACGTAGTAGTCGTGGCCGAGTGGTTAAGGCGATGGACTAGAAATCCATTGGGGTCTCCCCGCGCAGGTTCGAATCCTGCCGACTACGGACATATGTTTGTTGTACCTCTCTTTTTTTTTTCAAGATAGTAATTTTTTAACCGAAGGTTTTTTTTTAGCACGACGGATTAAATTTGATGCAAAAAATGTCCAAGTGAATTTGGCAGATGGATGCTTTTGTTGTTGTTGTTGATTACGCGTTTATTGTAAACAATAGGCCACTTGCAGTAAGAGGTCACGTGACCAATGGTTCCTTTAAACAATGACTTGAAATGTTGCTGATGCCGAAAATAGTCAAAGCCCATAAAAATTATCTTACACCCGAAATTTGAGAGGGAATGCATGTAAGGGAAATATTTTATGGCACAGAGTAGTATGATTTCTATTGGCCGCCATGTTGGAGTACATACTCTTGCCCTCCAACATGGCAGCCAAAACTACTTTTTGCTTGTATTTTGTTAAACGTTTGATAGTTACGCCCAGATGTGCTGAAAACGTTACCACATCATCTTTCAACAATTTCATTGAAGTTCAAGTGCAAAATTTCTGTTCAGAAAGAGGTAATTCGCAGTTTTAAAAATCACACTTTGGTCACGTGACCAGCTACGAACTTACTCATTTTAAGAAAATGGTGAGGGTTTGAAAAACTAAATTACTATCATTTTGTTTAAGATATGACCCATTAATCGTTTTTTGAAGGCAAAATCATAAAACTGTTATTTTCATAAAAAATGATGTCACATGACCTCTTAGTGAAAATGGCTGATTTTCGAAAATTTGCAATTCAGTCTCAGTCGGTTTCCGTAGGTTAGTCCATGATTTAGAGTTGTCCCAGAATACCGTAGTGGCGTAGTGGTGTTGGATGTAATCAATCTCGTGTCCGCGTACCCAACATCCGCAAGTATTCTTGGAAAACGTGGTTTTTCTCAGAATCTCCGGATGTTTACTCTTTGGTAGCTTGTTTCCAAATAAGATAATTTTAATGTTGTATCCTTTTAATTTCTTTTTTTAAAGATAAGTTTATAACTGTACATGAGGGAGAATAAAATTCAAACTGCAGAAGAAAAGTCAACCCAAACTAACCGACAAGCATAGTTTTGCCGTGTTAGAGCCCAGTCCCAGCTGTTGTCAAGGCCGAGGTAATGCATGGCTTCATCTGACTTACATCACAATATAAGGTGTGGCTTGAAAACAGGTTTATTTTCACTTTCCAACTCAGTCTGAAGTAGTTTCATAAGCGGGTATTTCTATCATTGCTCTAGACCAGCCTTAAGATACGATCATGCCACTTAAAGAATCCTATGTCATTTGGAACAATAAGGGTGGAGTGGGAAAATCTACTCTTACTTTTCATATTGCCTCACACTATTCAAGACGCAACCCTACGGAGAAAGTGCTAGTGATCGATCTTTGTCCACAAGCAAATGTGTCGATGGCATTGCTGAGTTCAAAAAGAGTCCGAGGAAGCGAGCATCTTTCTACCTTGTACAACGCAAACAAAACGATCAGTTTCTATCTTCAGAGGTCAATTGAACCTGGTCCCGTGATAAATGGAAGAGAATATCTTACTGCTGTTCACGATTTCAACGATCAGATGCCGTCTAATCTCTTCCTCCTCTGTGGCGACATGTATCTAGAGTTGGTTGGTCGTCACCTTGAGCATGAGCGAAGTGGGCTCGTATTACCCAGGAATAATCCATGGGTTAACACCACGTCCTCGATCAAGAGTTTTATTGAGGGCAAGGAAGGACGAGTAACTGGAGTGACCGAAATCAACGACGACGCCGAAGTCAACGAGGACTGGGTTGTGTTTGTCGACACAAACCCTGCCTTCTCTGTATACACAGAGATTGCCCTCGCTGCAGCAAAAAAGCTGATCATCCCTATCAACGCTGATGATTTCTCCGTCGCAGCCGTGCGGGCAATGTTGGATTTAGTTTATGGCATTCGTCAAAGAAATGATGAGCCACAAGATTTTCAAGCGTACAGAGAGTACATGTTCAGCAGCAAAGCAGTCAAGTATGGTCTCAGACGGCCGCAGATACATTTGCTGGTAAACAATCGTACAACCCACTTGACGACGCAGACCCAAGCCGAGACTCGTGCCGTAAAAGGTTTCCGTGCAATGGGTCAGAAGAACCTTCAAGTTCTCTTTGAAGCTTACAGGGATCACCAAGAAACTTTCTCGCCCAGAGATGAGATGCCAGAGATCAACACCATTGACAGATTCCAACAGCTCTATTTTGAAGATATTCGAGATTTCCACACGACAGCAATACTCTGTCTTCACACAGGTTGTCCCCTTGGAGCTTTGAGCGGAAAGGTAGATTTCGCAGATAGTGGAGCAGCTTCAGTAAAAGTTGATCAAACAAAGAAGAAAACCTACTTGGAGTGTCTCGAGAGACTTGTTGGAAAGCTATAACTTTGCATTTTCATGCATTCTGTAAACACGTAGTACTAGCTTATGGTAGTCTAAAAGTGACATAATCGTTGGACACGTATCGCCATGGTTGGCAAATGAGTGCCAAGCTAGTGCACTGTTCACGACTGACTGGTTTTTAATGTTTGATTTTATTATACTACTTTTAAATTGATTGACAATTTAGCTCAATCCAGCAGAAAGAAAAGTTAAGGATATGGCTTTATGGGCGGAATTATACGCGTATAGTCTCTGATAGACTACTTACGCTTTCTTGCCAATGTTTCAAGAGTTTTTAGTAGATTTCGAGTAAAATAAAATTGTAATAGCTGTGTACCTTTGTTTGGTCTGTTCTGATCACTGATATAAGTCCTGTTTTCAAAAACGTGCAATCAGTATTCCCAATTAACAAGAGCTAATCAATCATATTCCAAAGTTAACATTAGTGCTGAAGATAAGTCGCAAGGAAAATAAGTTCATATGGATTTGATAATGTCTGTGATTAATCACTACCGTAATGAAAGCCTATATACATACTCAATAATGAAACTTAAGTTCTACATTTTTCTATTCCAAAGTCGTCCCCTTTGTTCGAATGTGGATGTTTGCTAATACAGTTATTTTGTAACTTCACACTCACAAAAACAATTAAGGTGTTATTAAATTCATAACTTAGAATGTCTTTTCAAGGTTTTTTACAATGCACTCACAGTAATTTTCAAGAAGTTATAATAACTCCCCTAGTGGGGTTAATTTAACTCCTTACAGTGGAGTTATTTTTTGGGGAGTTATTTTCACTCCAAAAAATAGTTTAAAGAACTCTTTTTCGGGAGTAAAAATGACCCCAGATATTGATGAGTTAAAATAACCCCCAAAAAGGAGTTATCCTGTACCTAAACTTTTTACTCCACTTTCAGAGTTGAAGTAACTCCAAAAAGAGTAAAAACAACCCATGTAAGGGGAAAAAACAACCCTATTTTCCGAGTTATTTTAACTCCAGACTGGGAGTAAAAAGAACTCTTTTTTAGGAGTAAAAATGACCCCAAATTTGGAGTTAAAGTAGCCCCAAAAAGGGGGTTATTCTATACCTAAAATTTTTACCCCATTTTTGGAGTTATAATAACTCCCTAAAAATTACTGTGCTGTTGTTTTGT